AACCTAAACCTAACCCTACCCCTAACCCTACCACTAACCCTACCCCTAACCCTACCCCTAACATAACCCTACCCCTACCCTTACCCTAACTCTACACTTACCCGAAGTCCTGAAGTCCTGAAGTGCCGAACTGAATCGAAGTCCCGAAGTTCCGAAGTGCTGAAGTCCCGAATTTCGGAATGCCGAACGGAACCGAATATTTGTCCCATGCACATCCCTAACAAGGATACAGATAGATAGATATAGATAGATAGATAGATACATATAGATACATATAGATAAATAGACAGATACATATAGAAAGATAAATAGATATAGATAGATAGAGATATAAATATAGATAAATATATAAAGATAGATAGATACAGATAGATAGATATATAAAGATAGATAGATAGATAGTGTGTGTATGTACACTATTTACAATTTGTGTTTTTGTATACAAACACTATATATAGAGATATCTCTCTCTATATATATAGTGTTTGTATATAGACACAAACTTTGGGCTGAGGAGAGTTGCAGGAGGAGGGGGGCGGGCATAGACAGCGAGCTGAGCTGTCAGTCAGCTCGTGAACACGCATACCGTGTACATGCGCTGTAGAGCACTCAGTGCTCATTCATAGAGTGGCATTCATTGCCTCTCTATGAAGAACGCAATTGGTGCAGCGTGAGGCCGCACTTGCGTACCAGATAGCTATGACGCTTCTGCAAAAGAAGCGTCTGATTGAGCTCTGCTACTTCATCATTTTGACAAAAAAGGGGGCGTGCCCTGCAGAGAATCTCGGCGCTGGAACGGAGGTACGTTTTTATGATAAAAAAGATTCAAATTATTATTTTTTTTTAATGGGAAACTAATATAAATGTAAGGGAGAAGGCTAGGGGACCTGTCTTTTTTGCTTTTATATTTTGACTATAGTGCTCCTTTAATGTTGAGTGACTTGAATTCCTATGTTTAATGTAAAGTACCTACTGAAATAATGGTAGAAGTGTCTGAGCATGATGAGTGTGGTGCCTTTTTTGTAACTGTCCATGGTCAGCTCACTGATCGCTATGTACTGACTTGGGACAGTTTGATTTCAGAGGTTGTTTAGGTCACCGCTTCTTACATCTCCTGCCTAAATATCATTGAATCACAAGGCCATCGGGAGAAGATGCTAATCACAAGACCAGGAATAGATCCCGCATCTTTCTCTGCCCTGTCCCTTTGAAGGCGCACCTATCTTGCGGGTACTACATAGGGGAATCTTAGAAGTCCCAGTACTTGGTGCCGACCCTGGGGGAAGTTCCGCTTTGCCTTCTTTCTCTGTGCAGATTAGGAGGTTAGAGTGCATTGTTGTAGGCACTCACCAATAAAGATATCTAGCAAGCGATACCTATGAAAGTCTCTGTTTCTCCCACTCAATCCACGTCATATAGTTCTTGCCTCTACAGACCACATGTGGGTCTCAATTATCATTATTACACATTGGCCCCCATACTGCCCCCCCATACACACACACTGCCCCACGTACAGCCTCCCATACACACACACACACTGTCCCCCATTCTGCCCCCCATACACACACTCCCTGCCCCCATACACACACACTGCCCCCCACACACTGCCCCCCCATACACACACACTGCCCCCCATACACACACACACTGCCCCCCATAGGCACACACATTGCCCCCCATACTGCTCCCCATAGACACACATTGTTTCTTTCACTTTGCCCTTCCTACCTAATCCGATTGGATTAGGGTTTCATTTCTGATAGATGCTGTTTGGCCAAATTCAGATTGCTAATTGAAGAGGCGGCTTTATTAGGAGTAGCCTGTGTTGGGCTCCTCATTGAAGCCCATGACAACGTTGTGTTCAGATGCCGAAAAGCGCGTAGGTCTTTTGTAGCACATGGTGTGTGTGTTTTACTCACTATGGGTAGCACGTTTTGTTTTGAATGCACTTTCAATTACCCAAGGATCAGTTGGTTTAGGAAGGCACTAGTAGTTCTCCTATGGTGCATAGGTATCTAGGGTCAATATGCTTGATTAGGGACTTGTGATTTGTGTTTT